CCCGAACACAGTAACTGGCTCACTCACTCTCCTTGGAAAGTCTCACCCCCCCCCCCCCGACGACATGAGCGCCTTGATCGCATGACAGCACTAAGCTAGTTCCTTCTCAACTGCTCTTCCTTGAGTTTCCTTGAAACACTGCGAATCGTAGAACTATGCTGACCACGGTACACGCTTTGACGTATTCAATTCCACTGCAAAAGCCCGCGAAGGTTGCCTCGTCCGGATCGCCGCGCAGCCCGCCGCGCGATTTGCCGCGTGCCAACCCGGACGAGCCAAAAGTCCGTCGCCCTTTGCCTCTTAAGAATGCAGTGTAATGTAAACTGCTGCAGGACTTTGAAAAGGAGGTCGCTGCAAAATCTGTTGAATGAAGCAATCGCGCCAGATTTGGACCAAATTCACGCCAAGCTCAGGAATTCCTTCAGGGATTTCGAATGATATGAAGTTCAGAAGAGCGGCAAAGATCACTTCCTTGCTTTCTGATAGAAATGAAGGCCGTGCCGCAAGAGAAACATCCACTTCAACCAAGTGCTCTGCCATCGAATCTTTTTCAAACTTTATTTCTTAATGGACTAATGTTTCGTGCGTGTGAGGGAATCCCAAGTTCATTCTTGAGTGGAAAATGTGGAAGGCACATCTCTGTCAAAAAATCATGGCAAGAACTGGGCCAAATTCGGCATGAAGATGCAGCCGAGTTGACTAGAGTAGGGTCCGTTTTTGCTTGCTATGCATGAGTGTTTGTCTGTCTTTCTTTTTGCCATTTTCTTTCTTTTAGTAGTGCTTTGCGAAGAAAAAAGCCATTAAGGGAAAGGAAAAACGTGAGAAGAAAAACAAACAAATGCTAAAACATATCAAGCAAAAGCGAACCTTACTCAGTCGGCTCGGCTGCATCTTCATGAAAATCGGCCCAATTTTCGCCATGGTTTCTTGCCACAGATGATGCCTTCCACATTTTCCACTCAAGAATGACTTGGGATTCCTTCACAGCACGAAACATTAGTCCGTTGAGAAATAAGTTTTGAAAAAGATTCGATGACAGAGCACGACTTGGTTGAAGTGGATGTTTCTCTTGCGACACGGCCTTCATTTCTATCGAAAAGCAATGAAGAACCAATAGTTGGGAAGGAAGCTAGGTAGTTAGTGCTATCATGTGCGATAAGGCGCTCGTCGGGGGGGGGCGGGGGGGAGGGAAGGTGAGCGTGCAAGTTGAGTGAGTTAAATAATTACTGTGGTCGGGACTAAGCCCAGGGGGAAGATAGAAGAGAGAAGGAGAAAATATCACTTCCCTCTGGTTAGGAGAAGGATTCTGGGGAGGTTGTGAGCAATTTGTGTTCTCCCTGGTGTTTGTCCCCTGGGCTTAGTTCTATTCACCTTACCATTGGCCCTGCTTTGAATGTTCCTTCTAAGGGGGCATTGTCGAGCGCCGCCATCACTAAATAGTTGACACTGAATAACTATCTCACCAAAACTCTTTAGTTCCTTTCTTAAGTTTCTTATCACTTGAATCATAGTCGTACCATTTCCTGTAGGTTTCCTATCTCAACTCTTTGCGCTGAAATCTCCTAATCTCCTGCTTTTGGAATTCTCGCGCGCGAGGCAACTTCTCCATACCGACAAGAGTGCGGGTTTTACCGGCAAACACCTCATAAAGAATGCTATGAAATTCTAGTTGCAAAGCCGCGCCGACCCTTCTCGTTTCGGATGCGCCGCGCATCACGCCGACGCAAGTCGCCGCGTGCCGGCCCGGACGAGCCAAAAGTCCCGCACTCAGAGGCAAAGGGCCACTACACTAAAAAATTTAGGGAAACAGATGCGAAAAATTATCGAAAAACATGAGTTGGAATTATAATTCTGAAACGTCGGCCAAGTGGCCTTTTACACAAAAATTATTAGAAAAATTCTAGTGATATTAAGTTGGAAGCTGATATTCACAGACAATTTCGCATTTATATTTGCCACATTTTCACATTGGAGACTTTTTCTGAAACATCTTAAATTTGCAAGATTTTGGGAAATTCCAAGGTGGAATTACAATTATGAAATGCAGTGTACTTCGACAGCGGCCTATGTGCAAACGGAGATCGAGCCCGAAAAATTGCTGCTCTATGTAGTTGCGAGCTCCGGCTACGATGTGTAGAGTACCGACAGGAGGCCCGTCGCGCGAAAAGAAGGCCAGGTCAGCGCAGCGCGTGCTGTGCGATGTAGGACGTGCAATGGTACATTCTATTTAACTTGACGCGAAATCCTACAGTACGCGCTGCGACTCGTCCGCTGACTCTGCCTTCTTGCCGCGCGACGGACCTTCCTGACGGTATCCCGATGTGTAAATGAACGTCCGACTAAAAGCTTTGCGATGCATACATTTCTGATTATTCTGCCACTACCTCAACGCGGCTCCAACCACTGAAACACCTTTAAGTGATCAGATACATTTATTCAGCACAATATGTGGAATAAATACAGATTGGCAACAAGTATCAGATAAATTCTTGCACATTAATGAAATTATCTTATTTTGGAAATAGTGCTTTTACTCATCAACAAACATTCAAACGCGAAACATACAATCACTGAAACATCGTACACCGCTACAGTACAACCTTTTCCACTCATGCTTCAGAACTACACCTAAGTCAATCTTTCTTACCCTCTTGTTTGAGAAAAAAGAACTCTTGGAATTCAAAGGACACACGTAAATAACCCCAAGCATTCACCACTTAAGCATGGTAGATAGCATCACAGTTAAACATCTAAACAATAATACTGAACATACTTTGTCGTTGTTAAAGACTAGGAATATTGCGTGGAACGGAAAAAATGGAGAATAATCTAAAGTTTATCACCATAATAAAAAATTTCGTTGAAAAACTCCTGTTTTTGTAAAAATCTCTCAAAGGAACTGTGTCGAGTTTCCATTCCAATTCGCATTGTCTTCATCGCTGTCATCATTAGTGTTGTGAAGTCTACTCGTGTTACCTCGCTGAAATATTTGCTCACTACAAAATGTTTAGTGGAGATTCCAGGAAAAGGAGTAAAGCGTCAATTTGTTGAAGACAAAAAATTCGAAAATTTCAACACAATAATACTGCATTTGAAAAGGGCTGCGCCGTCTCACCCTACGAATCGTCGCTCCAGTGGCATGCGGTTCACGGCGACGCTTTACCTCATCTGTCCTTGTTTGTCTTTCTCGATCAGAAGATCCAGAGCCTGGAATTCATAGATAATGCGAATTTAAGCGAATTCCTCTTATTATTATTCAGCCACTCAGAAAGTTATTGCGACTTGTAATGTCTAAATACGAACACACATGTCTCAGGTGGAACAAATCTTCTCAACCAAAGTAAGATCTATTGCAATCTATAAATTTCTGCCATCAAGAAAGAAGTCCGGTGGCTTGTGGTGCTGCAATTTTGGGAGCGATGAACTCGCTGGGATTCATTTCAGTATCATCTTTCAGAAATGCTAGATTCGACATGATTTTAGTATTATGTCGAGTTTATGAGCATTGCTGTTTACAAGTACAATCACAATCAAGATGCGGCGAAATTTAATCTGTAGACGAAATGCGAGATGCGCTATGTGGATGCAGGGAATTTCTCGGCTGGTGCAGTGGCAGACATCATAATAATCACCATGGTCTCGGCCCAACAGTTTCAGATTCGGAATGTATTGTGTAGAGTGAGTCATGTTGGGCCACCATAGGTGCAAGTTTGTACTATCATACTTTGAAAACATCCTTCTGGCATCCGCATGCAAAATCCAACTCAAAACAAAGCCGTTTTCGTTGCATGAAGGAAATCAAACCTTTCGAAGTAACGACTCCATTAGAACTTAGAACAGATTCACGATTATCTCTTGGACCAGTAGTGAAGGACGCAACAAATTGAGGGCTCGCTCAAGGAACTTTTGGGCATCAGTTTCAGTTCGTTCTTCCGGCGAACGGTGAAAAAAAAATCACCTACTTATTCCGTATTCGAATCTCACTACCCTCGCCACAACGGAATTGGCTCTCGAGCTCAAGCTTGTTATTATAATGGTATCAGAGACTGCTTACCTGAATTCCATCCCAACCAGCCGGTTACCATGTTATAGACGTACTGGATTGGAGCAAGAAACCAACATCGAGAACAGTGAAAGAATTCCTCGTAGCGGATTAGCAGAAATTATCTGGGATGATCTTGGCTCGGGACCTGACAAGATATTGTGGTGAAGATCATCGGTTCCAAGCGAATATGCTGGTTGCAGTAAGAATCGACTTGATACTTTGAAAAAAGCGAAACCCAAGCGCATAACGAAAAAGCGTTCAATAAAAAAAGAATAAAGAAAGAAATAAAGCAAAAGAAAAAAGAACCAAAACTACCTGAATAATGAGAAGAGTACAGTTGGGCGTTAAACACAAATCAAGAAATGACTTCTGCATGTCATCCTCAGTGAATATTTTTCGTGGATATACCTGCGCGATTGAGAACCGCTGACACGTCCCGTCTATAATTCAAAGAAGCTTTCACGCCGAAGCAAGGGACCTGCAGGTCGGCCGCACGAGAAAGCTTAGCGGGTGAGACAGTGGAACAGCAATTGTTGGCTGCGCGGTTGCTTTGATGATTGTCGATGGTGCAGGTTACTGAGCCCCTAGCCACCGCTTGTCACATGTTATTGTCGAGGAAGCCTGTGGTTCTGTCCTTTCGATTGTTTATTCACTCAGAGCAACAGCCTAAAGAGTGATGGATTTACCTAGAAAACAACAATCCCCAGATGAGGTCCGTCGTAACAATCATTCTTTAGGGTCGCCCTGAGAGTATCATGCTGTTGCCATTGCCGCGAAAGTTCGCGACAAGACGCTATGATTGCGAAGTGAGTTAATAACGACCAATGTGAGCTAATGGACGAGATTCCCCGTGCGCACCCCATGACACACAACGTGGATTACGGCGTAGCGGCTAATCGCGCGGGTTAGTGAAGCCATAGAGCAAGCAAATTCAGACAGCTCGTTCGTCCTACTCCTCCGTAAATCCAATAGAGAACAGAAGGGAGTTCTTGTTTAAAGCGGTTCAATGGTGGTTTGCATTGCTTTTTTTTTCACTTCCTGTCAACCCGGCATCCACCATTCCAATATCGGCTGTCGTTACCCCACCAATTTGATCTGGGATTGCTGCTTTAAAAAATATTAAAGGATGAACAAATTGAGGCCTGTGCTCCAACAGGATAAATAAACGATTAACAGGTGCAAGATTGTGCCCCCTGGTGGTGTTAAATAAATTCGCCATCCGTCTCTTGGATTGGTTCTTCTTACATCGTGTTCACCTCTGTTAGTAGTCTCGAATAAAACACGTAGGGATTCTTCTACCCACACTGACGTAAGATGGGATATAGCCCATTCCAAAATATGAACAATTACACCCTTGTATAAACCCGCTGCATATAATTTCAAAAACATACAGACAGCTTGACACACCTGTCTAATAAGATCCACCAGGATACTTAGGGAATCACTCGATGCAAACTCCTCCACAATATTATCCCCATCTGGTAGGCGAACTTGGACACGACATCTGAACAAACTATAACATAAAAAGAAGCCTGGAATTCTATCAATATTGTCTCCCATGGGAGCAAGACCTTGGTGAATGCCATCACGAAAGTGAACTGTACAAATCAGTTCTGCTCCGACATCACGAATGCGTACCTATCACTGGGCACTGGTTCCATTCTCGGAGGATCCTGGCTCGTTGGCATATCGCCAGCCGATGCCTCCAACGGTCTTCCTCGACGTTCTCGGAACTCTCTTTCCTCCCTGCATCGATTCATATCATTATTAAGCCAGATTAGCAAAAACTAACAGCAACTAATTTACAAGCGTATGTGAAAAAATTAAATTCCAACCGATCTGCCTTGATTTGAGCTTTGAGTCGTTCTCGCTCTCTCTCTGCCTCAATTTTGTCGCGGCGACGTTGAGCCGCTGCTTCAATGAGTTCCTTAAGAATCGAAATCTGGCTAGAACAATTAAAACAGCCACTAGAAATAGGAACAAAACCAGACCTGTTCATGGCGTTTCTGCTGAGCTTCTTGCATAAGCTTCCCAGCATTGATCCTCTCCAGTTCACGACGCTTTTCCTCCTCTATTTTCGCTTCTTCGTCAGCCTTCTTTTTCTGCTCCAGCAACATTTTCGCTCTAAAGACCATCATTAACTCTATGTAAGGCAGTGTTCACACATTGCGCCACACGAGGAGGACGCTCGAAACGAACGAATCTGCGCAAATGCGAAATGAATGAAATGCGTATCGATCCACAAAATGGGAGGAGCATCGAATCGCGCATTGGAATCTGCGAATCCTCTTAAAAGGAATAGTGTCTATCGATCAGTCAATCGGAGATCGCAGCATCGAAACGGCGGTGCGAAAATCCTCTAGCAACGCTAATAGGGCGTGGTTTACTACGTCGATACGTATCTAAACCTTTTCGCATCCGCGTTCGCGCGTGTGGAAATTCTCCTGGTCGATACGTATACAATTCTTTTCGCGAATTCGAATATTCGGATGATTCGAAAACTGTGAACAATGCCTAACAGAAAAACAAAAACTTATCAAAAAAATCACACTGCACTACAAAAAACCAAGTTTTCCAATAAGATACGAGCTTTCCAAATGAAATAGAGAAAGTTTCATTTCAGAAGCTGATGAATCGTCATTTGCTGTCTCACTGCAGTCATGAATGGAAAAGAACTACATAACATCATCTCACCTCTTAACCTTCTCTTCTAGGGCAGCAGCTGAAGGTGGAGGAGACGATGATGAGGCAGGCACCTTTAAATAATGAAGTAAAAAATATAGAAACACTTGCAACATGGTATCTTAAAAGGAGAAGGATATCTAAGAGCAACAATGTCGACAAAAATGGCGCGAAAACATGCACTGAAGTCTTGTCAGCAACCCGCCCATTTTGGAGCGCTCTTCGAATGCGATGGTACGAGAAAATATGATAAAAACAGGAGTGAAATTTAATAAATCAAGAGAATGAACTACCCAAACCTCATGTGACTGAGCTGAAGTTGGCTGCTGACCAGCACCACTTTGGCCCGACTCAGGTTTGATGGAAGCGATGAAAGCCTGTAATCACGAATCAGTATCACTATTTCTGTTTTCTATGTATTACTAAAACCGATTCACAAGCTTCGGCTAACGTTGACTTCCTAAATATTCCCACTCACCTTCACGGACGCACTTATTTTCGAAAAGAACTCGTCATAGTCAAGGTCCTTGAGCAAAGTAATGACCTCGATGGGCTTCCCCAAATTATCGATAAAGTAGGAAGCAGGAAGCACTGGAGTCGGATCTTGAAATGCGTCTTTTGGTAAGTGCTCACAGAAAAAGCGGAAAAGCTTATCTCTTCACAAAAATTCAATAAAATGAACGAAATGAGGTATTCATGCTTGGCATAGTGGAGGAAGTAAGATGGAGGAAAACTTCAATTCGCCTCTAGCTCTCAATTAAGAGATCAAATGGAGGCTGATCAAATGGCCCCTCTGGAAGTTTGGCTTGTTACCAGCGAGTGCTGGGCCGATTCTGTACTTAGCAACAGCCGCTAGCTGCATTTAAAGGAAGTCAAACCTCAAGATAGCGGGGAGGGCACGGATATTGGCTCGGGCTTTGAAATCCTCGCTGCGATCTTTCAAATAGAAACCATCTTACCCCTGTCAAGCATCAAGAAACTATAATTAAATGAAAACATTCAATGAGCTTAGATTGTATATGGTCCTTGTTAAAACAAGAACAGATATCCTCGAAGGTAACGTCTACCTAAGGAAGACCGGGAACCTTAACTGCACTTTGATAAAAAAGACAACTGCACCAACCAACAAACTGAGGGACTCACAAATCTGAGCAAACTGCTTTGCAGCCTCATCGCCCTCCATTAAGTGAATACCGACAATTGGGCAGTCGAATAAGGACGGCTCTATCTGAAATATGAGACCTCTCTGATAACCAAAAACGATATGGCACATTGACCACAATGGTACCCTCTAAAATATCAGATTTTTCGTGCCTGATCCCTAACTGCTACTAGGTCTACCGACAAAATGTGTCTGGTCAAAAGCAGTCAGAAACGCAAGAGACAAATGAAGTCTAGACAGTTTCTGCAACGTCCTCCAACTAGGTTGGAAGTAGACGACTTGATCATGAACAAAAAAGGGAGTAGTCCCACGCCGCACATAGCAGATGCGGAGAACCACTTTATCAGAGAAAGTATTAAAATGCGATTTAAAAGTGCAGTGTCGAAAGTAAGCACTACTTATAATAACTTTCTTTAATTAGTTGTCACATTCGATTGCTATATAATTTAGTCTAGTGAAAGACTTTGAATCCGTGCATACCTTGTCCCACAGCTCGCGCATCTTCTCTCCTTTACCGTTTTTGCTTTCGATAAAAACAATGAAGAGCGCATTGTTTCTCCGCGATACTTGTACTGCTGTACTCACAGACCCATGGAACAAATACTCAATTACAAACCAGATCTAGAAAGAAAAGGGAAGAGATCTACTGCTGTGAGGACAGCTTGAAGAATACAATTCAGAAGAGGAAGCACAATAGGAAGGTAAACGTCATCATTGCCAATAAGCCGAAATCGGCGGCAAACGTGATGCGTTGTACGTAAGTGCAGATGCCGAACTTTTGACGACAAAGAAATTCCGTCTCCAACGAAAATAGAATTATCTCTTAGTTTATGCCAAATTATTTATTTATTAGTGAGTTGCTTGTTGCAGTATGTCGTTAGCAAGCTTGAACCTGAATCCGGCAATTGCAAAACCAACCAGTAATGGGCAGGTGCAATGTATAGTGTGCAATATGCAGGTAAGAACTACCTTTCACTACTAGCAAGTTTACTCGCTCCTTTCTTTTCTTACTTTGGCACTGATCCACTATTACTACCCCAAAATCTCAAAATTTGGTGAAACTCGGGTCCGGGGGGCACGCGATGTCGCGGCGCTCTGCCGTATGCTGAATGTTGGGAAGGGGATGGAGATGGGTAAATGTTGGGGAGGTTCGTCGCAGAACCCACTGGGCGAGGGCCTCAACACGGTCGACGGACTACTTGAACTCAGCCCTTTAAACCTCCTCTGCGCTCTATGGTCCCTCTCCTCTCCAAGGCTTAGTCCAAGGGCATTCGCCCGTTCTCTAATACCGGGTGTGGAGGCTCAGTCCTGATCGCGATCAAACCAGAGTGAGGGCGCAGACGAGCAAAAAAGGCACAAAATGGCGCCAGCGCCAAAAATGAATGTCATATTCGTAATCAGGACCCAAATAACCCCTATATACAAGTTTACACCGAATTTGGTGAAAACAACGTCGTGACAAAGTGGCGCCAAACGACGCCAGCGCCAAAAATGAACACTATATTCGAACCTCAAACCGGTTTGTCACGGGATATGGCAGTTTACGTTTTCGTCGCAAAGTATAGGATAGCCGTGTTTTCTAGTGCAACTAACGTCACGTCTTTGAACCATGATCTATCTCCCACTTAGTTCACATTCCTCATTATTTATTTACTGTTTATTGAGTTTTGCAGGTGAAACCAAAGATTTGGACCGCGCATGTGAATGGGAAGAAACACAAAGAATCGTGCGTGAAGCTTAAGCAACAGCTGGCTTCCAATGCAAAACGGCCAGTTGATACATTGTCTGCGCAGAATGGTGCACCACCAGCGAAGAAGATTAAAGGTGGCATTATTTATTTGCTATTTGGTCCTCTTGATCATTGCCATTTTCATCACTACAGACTCACCAGCACCGGCATCAACTGGTCCTCTTCCATCAGATTTTTTCGATGAGGAACCTGGACTGAGGTGTGTTTTCGGTTGTCGCTTCTTTGTGCTTTCCAGCAATCTTTCACTGCATTTGTTTTGTTTTTACCCTTAATTCCTGTATAGCATACAAACGCCTTGGCAAAAAGCAAAAGACGACGAGGCTGCTCTCCTTCGTGAGCGAAAAGGAATCATCGAAGGAGTGCCACAAGGTTTCTTTGACGACAAGCGAAAAGATGGAATGGTAAGTGAAATACATTTTGTTGCGAAGGTTCTTTACTGCGTGTAAATCTTTCAGGTTAGAGAAACAATCGTCAACGAAGCTCACATGAACGAGGAATACGAACGGTTGATGCGTGAGTTGACCGAGAAAAATGTAGAAGATGAAGCCAAGGTGGTTTTTTTTTCTCCTAATACAAATGGTGCTTACGAGGGAAGGCATTGAACTCCCCGTGGAACTTTGAGCCGAGACCTAGACATATCGATAGAGCCTGGGACACTGGTTAGAACTGCGGAACCCAAAATTGCAAAACGATTCTGCCAAGGAAGTTACGAGCAGTCGAAGTTGGCTGCAAATGAGTGCTTTTGGATGAGGCTCGCTAGTGTCAGAGAAACTGTGTTGCCGTGGTGTAGTGGTAAGGCTCTCGCTCATCATCATGCAGGTCATGGGTTCGGTTCCCGCTGCGGTTGACGTTTTTGCAAATCATGTTCCGTACCCAGTAGAGAGTTCTATTCTCGTTTCTGACATTTATTTGAATAAGCACCTAATCACAGCTATGCTAATACCATTGACGTTTGTTGTGTGAGTTGAGATGAAGTAACTTCGTGCGCACTTTCTTCTACACCCAGCGTTCAGTTAAAAGAACAGAGCTAATTTGATACCTCTACCACTCCACGGCTTGTCTGCCTTGCCTTGCCCGAGCTGTCTTCATCCTCGTTATTGCAATAATCCCACTCCGATTCGTTTGGGGCATCCGATTCCAATCTTTCCCCTTTACAATATCGATCCAGCGATGCACGAAGTATAAAAGCGGACCTTGCAGCAATGTTCCTCTTTTCGCGTGTTGTAGGACTGTTATGTTCTTGCTCCGAATTTTGCGAAAAGTATCCAAACTACCTTCGCGGGGGAAGGCAGCATTATCAATGAAGATATTCATCAGGAACATAGCGACAGCTATACCTGTCACTCGGTCTCCACGTTCCTGACAAGGTGCTCGCTCGGATAAGTTAAAAACTAGAATAGAACTATCTACTGGTACGGAACATGATTTGCAAAAACGTCAACCGCAGCGGGAACCGAACCCATGACCTGCATGATGATGAGCGAGAGCCTTACCTACACCACGGCAACACAGTTTCTCTGACACTAGCGAGCCTCATCCAAAAGCACTCATTTGCAGCCAATTTCGACTGCTCGTAACTTCCTTGGCAGAATCGTTCTGCAATTTTGGGTTCCGCCGCGGTTCTGACCACTGTACCAGGCTCTATCGATGCGTGTAGGTCTCGGCTCAAAGTTCCACGGGGAGTTCAATGCCTTCCCTGGTTAGTAGTGGAGTAGGATTGATGCGAACAACGATTTTGAGACATTCCCTCTATCCAGGCAGAAGAAGAAGAGGAACGAGATGCTTTGCTACGTGACCTCGCAAATGCCGACGAACAGATGGAGAAGTGGATGCGGTTAAACGCTATGGAAAAGTTAAAGGAGGCAAGACTTCAAGAGGTAGCGATTTACTCTTCATTGATAGAATTTTTCTGGTTCCCGGATCCTGTGAGTTCCGTATCGCATTCCTTCCACTAACATACATGATCTTGTTCTTCGCGAAGCAGACAAACTACAAATTGAGTTCTTCTTCTCTAAGCAGTGCAGTTTCTATCAGGTTGTTGCAGTATAAGGGTCGTTACTGGGTGCAAATGAAATTCGCTGGAACAGCAACAATTCGGCAGCTCAGAGCAGAAGATGGATAACTTACTGTCTCAGGCTTAGCCAATTCCTTATTCAGAGACTTGTCGTCTTCTCGAAGAATTGTAGAAACTGCTTGCTTGCGAACAACTCCCTGGGTCAGATTCTTGTTGCCTCTGGAGCATTTCCTCTTTGCAATGTCCTGCGTCGACTCGATAAACCAGCATTTACATGAAGGTGACAGAAGCTGTTGTAGAATCAAAACGTATCAGACTAAATCTCACATGTCTTTGCTCGTGGTGGTTTTTCCCTCGATAAACACTTGGGCCCTCGTGCAGCCAGGTTACGTAATCGTTGAATTCCTTTCTTGTCGAGTCAGTGCACGAAATGGGAGGAGCGTCGAATCGCGCATTCGAATCTGAGAATCCTCTTAAAAGGAATGAGTGTCTATCGATCAGTCAATCATCGAAACCCGCGTGCAAAATCCTCCTAACAACCGGTAGTATGCGTGGTTTACTACGTCGATACGTAACTAAACCCTTTCGCATCCGCGTTCGCGCGTGTAGAAATTCTCCTGGTCGATACGTATAAAATTCTTTCCGCGAATTCGAATTTTCTGATGATTTCGAAAACTGTGAACAATGCCTTACCAATGCACACCTTTACTCACGTTTTGGCCCAGTTTCGAGGTTGTCTTATCACTGAAATTGAAATCTTGGTCGTCGGTGCAGTTCATTTCGATGCACGCCACGGCCCACCTGTGGGCGGGGCTCCGCTTAGCTGATGTGTGTTGTCGGCGTGGGGCGTTCTCCAAAAAAGCAGTGCTTTATGAAAAATTTCATAACTCGGTTGGGAGAAAGCCTACAGAGCAGAAAACAATTTGGTGTAAGGGAGCAATGTCTAAGGTGTTTCCTGCATACATGACGTGGGCGGAGCGCGCTCTGAAGTGTACAGCGTTTTCTACAAGTCCTCATAATTCGGGCCGGAGAAGTCTTAGTGAGCCGGAAAAAGGTGGATAGAGGTGGGTGAAGGAGTGGAGCCCAACTGCTAATGGTGGGCGGGGCATGTCCAAAGTGGGCGGAGTTTGCGACGGAAATTCATAACTCGGTTCCAAGAAGTCCCGAAGATCTGGAAAAAAGGAGATATAGGTTGGTCAAGGAGTGAAGGCCAACCGTCATCGGTGGGCGGGACATGACCAAAGTGGGCATAGTTTTGTGACGGAAATTCATAACTCGGTACGCAAGATGGTCTGCGGACTACCGGGTACCCGCAATAGTAAATGTGGTGAATTGGAAATGAGCCCAAGCTGTTGTTGGTTGGCGAGCTATACCAGTGAGTGAAAGTTTCGCGACGAAAAAGTTCATTACTCGGGTACAAGAAGTTCGTAGAGCCCCTCTGGAAAAGGTGACAGCCCGGTGGGTAAGGAACGTAAAGCCCAACTACTGCTAGTGGGCGGAGCATTTCCAAGGTAGGCGGAGTTCTCCACAAAACTTTGTGACTCAGCTGTAGATCGGGAGAGAATGTGCGAAGGAAGGAAGTGAATTTCTAATGGTGTGCGGAGGATACACCAAAAGCAGGATTCGCCGCCAAAATTATAAATCGGCTCAGAGATAGTTCAGAAGATGGGAGGAAGGAAAGAGATAGGTGGGACATGCAAAGAAATAGGAGTTTACCACGAGGTTCATAAATCGGTCCGGAGGCAGTCCGAGGCCGGGAAAAACGGACAATTGGTTGACGATTACGGACAATTGGAAGTGTATTGTGCCAAATTCGAAAATTCACGCCTCACCATCCTTTATCGCCACAAAACTGTGCGCGCAACGCGTGCGGCGCCAACTGGTTATACAAAACTAGACTAAATTCTTGATGTTTGCAATGACGATTTCCATCAATTCTGCAAATTTCAGTATCTTATAATTCAGGCACGAGAAAAAGCCGCGATCGAAGAAGACGACGACGAGGGCAGTGACGGCGATGATGCAGACTTCACCAACTGGCGAGCAAAGCGCGTGCTTTGATTATTTGATCTCACATGGCTGACTCAAGCGCCACTTTTGAGAGAAAAACAATTCCAAATGCGGGTAAATGTGACTCAACTGTGTAATGAATTGATATGCTAATTTATGGTACGGCTCTTAAATCAACACCATACAGAGATCGATTATCTGACAATCAGAATATATAGATAAACATCTGATAACGATGAAAAGTTTACAACATAAAAGGTACAAATAACAAGAAATTCATCAGAAAACAGAAACTTTCCGCATGAGTTAACGAAATACAATGAGAACTAGTAAGATGTGGGCTAGAAATGGTACAACGTGAACTGTCGATTTTTACCGCTACAACAATAACTAAGCATTTTTTCACAACGTGTGCCACCTACAAAGTTTGTACAGGTAAAAAAGCGGAGTGACCTAACCTAGTAGAAAATGTGAGTAACCCGCCAGAATCTTCCACTAACACATGAACTCACCAATATAACAATATGAAAAGATAAGAGCAAATGCGCTTCACCTCAGTCTTCATCGGAGGACAAGATCTCACCATCTGACAGCTCTCTATCTGCTGGACGAGGTTGCTTAGGTGGTTTTGGCTGCGGGGCTGGCGGTGGAGTCGCCGGTTTTCGACGAGGTGGAGTGCGAACATCGTGATTACGATGAGGAGGCGATCGTGGTCGACGATCCACCTAAAGCAGGCAAATGTTGTTTTGAATGAAGACGAAGAAAACCGAGAAAAGGCAACACATCCAAAGTTCTCACATCTCTTCGTCGACGATCATCCCCGAAAGGACTACGACGGCGACTTGGGATCTTGTAGTCACGTTCGCGTCGTTGATTGCTTGATTGTGACTGTGACGAAGGAGGTCCTACAGCCATACCAAGCAGAGATGGAATAGGCGATTTGTCGCGCATACGTTCCGGGAACCTATCGCGGCCAGCTGCCGCACGTTCCGGCCGTTTCTCACGCTCCTGTGTGTCCTCAAGACCTCGACGGATCACTTGCATACGATTGACCTAAATGTGCTATTATTGACAACCAACACTACAACTACTAAATATAAATAATTGGCAAGCTCACCTCAACTGACAACGCTTGCATGTCATTGTAGTAGGTGTCGACTTCATTGAGAGTTGCACGAAGCATACCGGTTAGCTTCATAAACACTGCACGCATATCCTCGGACGGAACGGAACGTAGATCTATGCTGCCCTAGAATTCTCTACTACATATAACACAGTAATTCTTTTCTTAAACCGATGTATGTTTTGCGCCGAATGAAAACTTCCTACTGCATCCGAAATTTTCTCAAAGTAATCCTACGAAATAAGAGTGAAAGTGTCTGCTACTACATTCGGTAACATCTAACGTATGAGACTATCACTCACTTTCCCATTCGATTTCAACAATTCCTCCACCATTTCACTGATTCGCGTGTCATCGATTGTTATTAGGCGAGGTGGAATTTTCACCCAAGATGCAATATTCATTAGATCCGCATCCTTCTTCTCTTTGGCCAGAATGAATAGTGGATCTGAATTCGTATGCGTGTATGGACGTACGCAAATACCTTCTATTCACCATTCCACAGAAGTTCACTGCAAATTTAAATAACCACTCACTGATCCACAAAGATGTGTAGTTTTCTGGGCTCAAAATGTCGAAAGGTTCACTAATCATCAGACTTTCTGTTGGAGAATCAGTTCCAAGGATAACGTCAACGCCTGAAACAGAAGACAACTTCGAATCTACATTCTGCTAAACTGATGCATAAGTTCCCGCGGTTTTGCACTTGCATGTTTTCACTCAACTTCCCAAAAGTTGAAAAAATTACTATTTGGTAAAATGCATATGATTTGGAAAGTCTTCCTCTAAAAAACACTTCATCTTCTAAGAGGATTTCATACTATCGACTGTCATGCCCCCAATAACCGACTCTTCTCCAATTGCCTGATTCCACCTATATGACACATTACGACAGCCCATTAAGCGCGCTCTCGTCATTTGATAATTTTCCCAAACCCGGCACTATCTTTTATAATTCGTTACAGTAATGAGCATAGTATTTTCTGGATCCCACGATTTGACTGACAACTTTCTAACATAAAAAAAATACCAAGTATATCGAGCAAAACCGTACATACTCGCGTGGAAGTTTGACGCGCATGCACATCACGCTGTCGTCAATGTGTTAAATATTCTCTCCTACATCAAATGTCATGTGTGGTTATGACCCCAGCATTACGCGGCCCGAAGCACCGTCCATGAAATGTTTTAGAGAGCTCAGAATTCTGAAAAGACATCCCACTCTGTTAGCAGAATTCATCGAAGAGAAGTGGTCTTTTTATGTCATGTACTCGTCTACATTTCAAGATCATCACGCACATGAATGCAGCATTACACTACATTGCCTGTGGATCAATCCGAGTAATATTTGTAAATTTGTGTCCTCTAGGCAAGTGTGATACACGTTGCACGCATATTCGTCTGGAAGTGCGCCTGAAATCTCTCAACACAAGTCTAAATCGGTTCTGCTCCCGATCGCGCATGAAAAAATTTGGCTGCGCCTTCCATAAACCCTCAAACTTCAGATGAATCGCGGTATGATGGCGTCTTCGGACACGTATCATAATGGTAACGCGCAAATTACAATATATATTGCCGATGTACTCAAACGTAATACGGTGCAGGTCGGGATGGCACCCCATGGAGAATAGCCCCTAAACCGAATATCTTGAAAAGCGCCTATACGAAGCGAAGGGATCTGAAAAGTATTGCCCCTCGTATGAGGCTATGATCAAGTCCAATTAAGGCTCATATACATTCGAAAACGAACAGTAAAACGAGTAAAAACAAACAAGAAACAAAACCGAGGGAAACATCAGGCCAACGTTTCACAAGACATTTTAAGCAAACGCTTACTGATTGGAAGTTCCGGAAGTGTAGCTGGAAAGGCTCCACGAGAACAAATTCTCGTCGTAGCTCCATCAATATTAAACCAAGGCGATTTCCACCGAGATAAGATGGACGAAATGCCATCGGCCGTGTGCAGAGTTCAAGCAGCTATAAACACTGCGATTAGCAGTAAATAGATAGAATAAATTCGAAAAATCGTAAAATACTCATATCTGGGAAAAATTATAAAATAAAATAACAGGTAGTTTCTTACCATCGTAATCACCTGCTTCTTGAAATATCCACAGTGTACAACCATGCACGCAAGTCTGATTCACGCATTCCAATCGATAATTCGGTCTCCATTGAGCAGAACCTTGCGCAGTACACCTGCAGTGCGAAATATGCGCGTGATGATCAAAATTCAATTATATAATCAGAGAAGATTTCATCCTTATTTGATTCATGTCATGGTTTCAACCAGCGCTAACCAACATAGTCATCACCACGTGTCAATAAAATGTTCACGCAGCAAGGTGTGTTGTTCACAAAGCATTGGGCAAGCACTTGATCCGCGAAAAAAGCCATGAAAAGAATTTGAGAAATGGATAAGGCCACAAAAAAGGGAGCTAATTCCTTCCAAAAATGAATTTATGCCGCCGACCTTTGTTCTCCTCTCCTCATGCCCCATCTAACCTGCTCTCTTTCAAGTCCACGACCTTTCGCTTCTATTGTTTCGTGAAGGCGTTCCCAACATTCAAGAGATGACTCAGTTTCCATGACGTATTCCGTATCTTCCGTATTGAAACCAAGATACCTAAAAAAAAAAACCATGAATCGCGAAAAATTAAGGTTTGCACACACGAACAACGATCCGAGCATTGCACGAGCTAAATCAACTCACTTTACTGCTTGACTGGCCACAAAGTGTGCTGGCGAGGCGAAAAGGGGTTGTCCTTCAACTACTTGAATTTCAGCTGGATAAAGGGGATGAAAGACGGACTCGGCAGTGAAGCAGATAACGTTGCTGCTAACGATTGACGACAAACTGGCAGTGTTGAAATGTGATATCTAAAAAGAAAAGCACTTATGGAGAAGTCGAAAGCGGAGCTTACACAACAAAAAGAGGATTGAATACATAAGAACCCTACAGCGTATTCGACTCTCAGTCTGTGATGCTAACTTCACACGGAGTTCCATTAGAAGTAGCCCGGTTTTGTTACCGACAAGGTGTGATAAAGTTTTGGGTGTCTTGTCATCCTGAAAATTCCTTTGCTACTTTGTAAACGGAGCTCAAAGAAATCAAATTCAAAATCAAACAACTTTCTTGAAAAAAAACCATCTCTCAAGTCCATTTGGACAGTGTTGAACAAAAGAGCCACAAGACCGCTAGCACACAATTTTTACCTTGTTTCTCATCCATTTAATCAAATCGGCAGGTCCTACGTAAGGCTTCGTCAGCAAGCGCTGCATTTCACGCTCTGACGAGGCGCAAGTCCACATAGGATCGCCTTCTAGAAGAAGCGAAATCAGGCAATAAGCATTATTTAGTTGAGAAAAATAGCGAACAATAATCATTTCAAATACAAACCACAGCAATCTATTAGGAGTGCATCACCGGTGCTCAAAAGAAGCTGTTGCAAGTACTCATTTTGTGCGATCTTATGCTTCATTGCTGACTGTCGCCACCGGTCCATTTTAGCCATTTTTGCTTCAATAGCAGCCTCAGAAACCTGAAAAAGGCTCATATCAGAAACAGTTAACAAAAACGAAATGTAAAACAACAAGCCTCATGTTTTTTGAAATATCTCTTTGCCATTGTAGCCACATCCACTGGCAAAACAGTCGTTTGGATCTTCTCAATACACTTATCGTCCAACTTCAAAGCAATAAATAACTTCTCGTAGGCGTAGTGTTCCACCGACCGATAACGTTCTCCTTTCATTTCAAAAGGCAGTGGGTAATAATTACTGAGTGGTCGGAAAATACCCTGAATTAGGTGACCTCGAACCAAAAAAACTCGTCAAGAACGTAGTCCCAGAATGAAAATAAGGTACCTGAAGAGAGATGATCTGGTCATTGACCTTTGATTTTGATAGGATTATCGTCATTATCTGTAGATAGACCTTCGATTTCAAGCGGCTGTCGATTTAACATCGCAGCCTTTCTCTTCTCACGAACTTCAAATCGTAGCCACATAAGGAAGAACCTATATGAGAAAATCGTATCTGTAGATTAAGATACGCTGCAAGTAAAACATGGCACGCAAGATAATAAAAATATCAAGACTGCTTATGGAAACCTACCCCATCTGATTACCCCCTAGCGCCGGGGGTTTCGCAGCTTCATTCTTCATCCAGAATTCCACCATTTGTGAGTCTGCTTTCTCACGAGCCATCCACTCCACAAACTGATTTTCGTCCATGCCTTAGAAAAAACATTTCAACGAACATCACCTATGGTTTGGTGTAAGCTAACAGACAACTAAGTATTGCTAACTTTTTGAATCACCAGCGACAAGATGTAGAACACGGCATAGCTAATTCAACACAAACGCAACAACTCACTCAGAAAATTGACTCAAAGAAAAACCAAAAACGGTAATAAACTAAAATGAATTAACAAATAAAATTGTAGAAAATATACCAACCGATTCCTAGCTCTTTGTCACGAGGATCACAAACGATGAGAAGTGCATCTTTCGTGTTCATTAGCGCTTTCTCGAATACTGAATCAGGATAACGGTTAAAAAGCATAATAGCTTAGAAAGGACAGAAAAATTGAGTAAAGCGTGGAAGAAGTGCGTAGAGTAACTAACATTTGTCCTGATCAACACGCAGTCTAAGCCCTTGCATTGAATACGCCTGCTTGCTACTTTGTAAATAAGAAGCAAGTGAGTTCATATCATGCCCAGCAGGCATATTTTCCAACAATAGTTGGCGAGCCTACAAAAAGGTTCAGAACAATCCAGTATGATATTTTGAGCAAACAACAATGAATGAAGTGAAAAGAGCCCCGAAAGATTTTAAATATCGACCGGAGACGTATCATACACGGAACATCATCATGAAAATCTACGTAACTGTGATTCAGATTGCTGTTTGTGGAACCCAGGTGACGGATATCGAAGTAATATATAAAGCAGAACAGTGTGTGGACTAATTTAGAGGAACATTTTGATGCAAAGGCTCATGTACATTACGGTTACCCCAAATCTGGAAGAAGTGATGAGCCCCAACGTGGGTGAACAAATACCGCTGTTCCAATTATAAATCAGTCGACTATTAGTTCTTCTAAACGTCCAAGATAGAAAGAAAATTTTGACGCGATTCCAAATTCCATGAGTTCTCTGCATCAAAATGTCTCTCCTGATAAACGAGCGCTAGCAAACCTTGAGAGGAACGTCGCAAGCTGATGTACAGAGCAGTTCCAATATCACATTTTCATCCACGCCCAGCTGGCTGAGAATCATAGAATGTGTGTAGTGAACTGCACTTGGATACCTAAACCGCGACAAGATTGTCATTTCAATGAGCAATCAATATAGACGATTTCAGAAATGTCGTAAAATAGCCGCAAATTGATTAGAATATCGTATGCTATTCATGGGTTACCAAATCTTATAAACTAAAAGAATATTGAGACTAGTTCCTATTACTTTCAAAACCATGGGAGCAACTTCTGTGCAAATTTTCTCGAACTGTGCATATTGCATGTTGCTGATGAGGGAGACATTAATCGAATGAAAATGATGGGAAACCTGTCCCCATTTTGATCGTGAGTCGGAGGGCGGAGCAGTTTTTCGTCTTACCCGTTTCCACGAACCCAACAAAAGATAATAAAGTACAGTGAACTAACAAACAAAACAATATTAGTAGACCAACATTTAACAGTGAAATAAAAAAATCCATAAACAAACATAAACAATTATGCACTAACCATTAAGTAACTCTGAACATGTTAAAAATACCTTTTCCCTGCATCTGAAATTGCGTGACTATAACCGCAGTGAAGTACATCCGATTCGTTACCAACCAGAACAATCTTCCCTTCATCCATCCTAGAAAAAACCAATACGATGATTGAACAACAACAAAAACAATAAACAACGTTTCCAAAAATTGAATAATTGAGCACGCTTAGCAATCAAAAACTATTGTAAAGCAGTTTTGGTCTTAGTAATTCTCACAGTATATAAAAAACAAAAAGATTTTGCATCGACTAGCGGTGCAAGAAAAAGGAAGAGGACATTGAATGGACAGCACCGTCAATCTCGTCCACGCGTGCCCGCATTCCTTAGCCCCGCCCATCGTGGCTGAAGATGTCACGCGGCAGCAATTGTCCATCGTAGTTTGCAGATGTGCTGAAGTTTTTCACGGGAGTCTTCCGAATGGTGGCTCGCAAAGAAATTGGATTGGTCTCTCGTGTGAAATATCTTGAGTGAATAGGCTGTGGAAAGGCGGAATGAGCCCATACAAGTTCTGAAACATTGAAGGGATGAGTGTTTGTAAGTCATGGATAGTTCGCAGCGAACATGGCAACCATTTCCATTCAAATACGATGCCATCAACTCATGCTTTCATGGGTCGTAATAACTTCGTTATTACCTGAACATTTGGGCTCCCCCACTTTCTTCACGATTTGGGGCGCGGCCGCGGCAAACCCGGCCGAGTCGATAGTGCCCGCGAACTGTGTGGGTAAATTTGAAAACGCATCACCACCACAGTTCGCGGGCACTATCGACTCGTCCGCGCTCGCCGCGGCCGCGCCCCAAATCGTGAAGAAAGTGGGGGAGCCGACTTTGGAATGGG